TGCGCGGGGGCGCGGCCGGCGGCTGCTGCTGCTGCCGCCGCCTCCCCGGCTCCGGACTCGCCTTCATCGCCGAGCCCCGCTCCGCGCAGGCAGAATCCCGCACGGAGGGCACTGCAGGGGCGCCGAACCTCCGGCCTCAGGCTCTCAGCAGCGGACGGCGGACGGCAAGCCCAGCCGCTCTGCAGCGGTGCGGCGGCCTGCCAGCCTCCCAGGGCCAGCCAGCCATCCCCCACCTGCCCCCGCCCCGCACCCCTGCCAGCGTCGCCGTCCCTTCTGCTCCCGCTTCGCCGCCGCCGCCGCCGCCGCCTGGCTCTCTATCCCTCGGCGTCCTTCTTCCAATCCCCCTTTTCCCTGCCCGACTCCTCCCCTCTCTCTCGCCCTCGCTCGCTCGCTCGCTCGCTCTCTCTGCTGGCTGTTCCGCGTTTCCTCGCCCCCCTCCGTCTTCCCCGCCTCTCAGACCAGCCGTCCCAGAGGCGGCCCGAGGAGCAGCGCCCCTCAGGATTACGCGCATCCATCCGCCTGCGCCAAAAAGCGGTCTGGCCGCACCCGCCGGGGAGGCTCCGACGTGGGGCGTTACTGCGTTTCAGTCCTCGCTGGACTTTTCTCTTTACGTGGTGGAACCGCATCTCAGATATTTCGGAAACGCTGACCGGTAGTTTTAGAGAAGGGTTATTGAGGACCAAAATCCCAATTCCTGGTTAGTCTCGTCTGTTTCTGTGTGAAATTAAGGGGTTTTTTTTCCTTTTTAGTCTTTCATTCATTTTCACATTTCCCCCATATGCATTGCTTTACTTACTCTGGATCTTTCCTATCTATATGTTTCTTTTTATTCCTCACTCGTGTTCAAACGATCATTTTAGAGTTCTTTTTTTTTTCTTTTTAATTCTCTGCACTGGATTCTATACGCCTTTATGTGGTTGAGGAGCAGGATGACTAATTCACACCAAGGCCGCAACAGCCCTTATTATCTCTCACAGGAAAATAGAGGGACAGGAGAGAGCCAAGCCTGATTGTCAAGGGTCTTTATCACCTCTGATTTTATGGAAGTCCAAGCATGTAACATCTGTTGGATCACTTGGTCATTTGATAGGGAGCAGATTGGGAACCTCGGAAAAGAAGAGGGGGAAGGAGCAGCTTTTGAACTATTAGTAAATGGTAGAAAGGTAAGCAAGACCAACTATGGTTAGTATTTGGATGGGAGACCATCTGGCGAGGCTAGGAGAGGGGAGGCTGAAAATACATTTGGGGAGAAAGCAATGACAAACCATTTCCTTATCATGCCAAGAAAACTGCATGGCTGTGTCCATCAAAGTCACAAGGAGTGACATCAAGGTGACTTGATTTTTTTATTACTACAGAAGACTTTGAGAGTAGAACCAAGCACTCAGAAGGTGGTGGGTCTCCTTCGCTGGATATGTTCACATGGAGGTTAGATAGCCATCATTCAGGGAGGCTTTAATTTGGATTTCAGCGCTGAGCAGAGATGGGGGTTAATGGCCTCATGTCTCCTTCCAACTCTAGGACTGTATGATCCTAATCCAGCTTCTTGCTTTCCACAGTGGAGAATCACACGTTTTATGGAAATCCACAAGAGTAGGTCAAAGGGAATAAATTCCCCCTTATTATTACTCCAGGAATTGGTATTCAATAGCAACTGTTATTCTTAACTCCCTCTTCCATCAGAATCTCCCATTCCATTGTCATGAATCTGACATGGCTTTTATTTATTTATCAGTCATTCTTATATGGCCACCCAAGTGCATATATTTATATAAAGCATAATCAAATACAATGGCTACATCCATATGTCACCTAAGGAGTAACATGTTGCTTGTTCCCTCTTGCCGAAGAACAGTAGAAGTTCCTTCCATGATTTCTTTAGTCTAATAATGTGATCCAGGATCCCAGATTGCTTTTTTCCAAGCAAGCATGCATGCACAGGCAATATTAAAGTGCAATACAATTATTAAAATATAATAACAATAAACCAACATAATACCCTTTAAAGAGCAGGTAAATAAGACCAATTAGCAGCTCAGACATTTAAAATGTATGTTTTAATCACGTGGTTCTGAGGAATTAAATGATCTTAGCTTGCTGACAAAAAGGACATTAAGATCAATGTCTGACAAAGCACTTCCAGACTTGGGGTGTCACCACCAAATGCTTGCTCTGCTTAGAGTCATTAGATTGAAGTAGCATGGGTCACAGTAGACATGCATACATACATAATACAACTGTGAGCCAAACAAAATATGCGGAAAGGAAAGGAAAGGAAAGGAAAGGAAAGGAAAGGAAAGGAAAGGAAAGGAAAGGAAAGGAAAGGAAAGGAAAGGAAAGGA